TCACATGATTCATTGACTCTGGTTCTTTTATAAGGTAGGTTTTTTTATATTTTTAATACAAAAAGTATTGCTCTGACAGTCCAATCAAATATATTTAATTTTGGAATTTGGAGGAAAGGCATAAACCTAGTTTATTACAAAAATACCTCTTTTTAGTTTTCCTAGCCTTAAAATATAACCTCCCCCCTTTTACATAGGTAATGCTTTCACATAGTATTTACATCAAGACATCTTGTTTTCCACCCCTGCCTAAATATACACACAATTTTCCTTGAATCTTTTACGATACTCTTTCTTTTTTACTTTTTTTTTTAATTGTACTTTAAGTTCTGGGGTACATGTGCAGATCTTGCAGGATTGTTGCATAGGTACACACATGCCATGGTGGTTTGCTGTCTCCATCCGCCCCCCAACCTACATCAGGCATTTCTTCCAGTGTTATCCCTCCCCAACCTCCCCACCCCACAGCTGTCCCTCCCCTAGTTCCTCACTCCCCAACAGACCCTAGTGTGTGATGTTCCCCTCCCTGGGGCACTCTTTCTGAGGGAGCGAGGGAGAGAGGGAGGGAGGGAGGGAGGGAGGGAGGGAATTAATGTGTGTATGCACACGAATGTGTGTATGAATTTTCAGGGTTTTAAAAATATAGATGTAATTACAAATACATTTATTTCCCCACTTTTCATATATAGGAGACATAATACTGTATGTATCATTCTGCATTTTGTTTTTAATGTTTATGTAAACCGTTATGGGAATTTTGTTTCCATACATAGAGAATTTTTTTTATAACTACAGTTGCATTGTATAGATTATTTAACCAGTGCTCTGTTTATGAGCATTCAGGTTCTTTCTAGGATTTTGATATTCAATCGCTACTGTAGTGAATAATGTTGCACATACATTATTCTTATGTATTGCAGGTATATCTATGAGATAGATTCCCAGAAGTGTGCTTGACTAGGTCAAAGAAAAATTTGCATTTGTGACTTTGATAGATATAAATTTTGCTTCATGGGTCTTGCTTAATTATGAGATGTCTGTTTACCTATAGCTTCATCAGTAGAATATATTGTCAGAATTTTGGATTTTTGACAGTCTGATAAATGAAAAATATCTTCACAAGTTTGGGTTTGTTTTCCTCTGAGTGAGACCAAACACGTTTTTATATGTGTGAAGGCCATTTATACTTCTGCTTCTGAGAGCTTTCATGTACTTTTCCCTTTTTCCTCTTGAGTTGTTGGTTTTCATCTCAATTTTTCAGGAGCTCTTTTTGTATATCAGGAAGCTAACATACCTGCCAAATTAGTTGCAAATATATTTTTCACCATTTGTGCTGTCTTTTGACCTCACTTTTAATGTGTTTGTTTTGCCATCCAAAAGTTTTTTTTTAGTTTTATGTAGGTGAATTTAATATTTTTTCCCTTTATGACTTATAAATTTTGCATCAGAATTATAAAAGCCTTTTTCATTTGAATATTTGAAGGTGCCATGTTTTCTTCTAGTTCTTTTATGGTTCGTTTCACTCTCCTTCCCTTCCTTCCTTCCAACATTTAAATATTTGATTCATTTGCAGTTTATTCTGGTATACAATATGAAGTGTGGCTGAACCTTGTTTTCTAGATTAGTTCAGTTGTCCCAGCATCAGTTACTTAAAAGTTCATCTTTACTCCATTTCACATGTTGCCTTTATCTTATTTGTACTTCCTTTATGTGTTAGGGCCTATTTTGGTCTTTCTGTTTCGTTCCATTGATCTCTTCATCTGTTGCACAGGTACTATCATGAAAAATCAAATAGTATAAAAATTCAGCGTACAAAAGTGGAATAAAGACTGATAGATGGCTTGTCTTGGTAACAGCAGAAAACCAAATTTTTGCTTATTGATGAAATATACATACAACTTAGGATCAGCATATGCAGAGAAGCATGAGGGAGCATAGCCATATCTGAAGTGCATTACTGGAGTGCCTGTGGCGAATTACCAAAAAGGCAGATTTTTAGCCACTGAGAGCCTGCCTACTTTGCAGTCCCCACAAAACTGCTTTGTACACAACATCATTAGCTATAGATAATATCAGATCCCAGGGATATAAAGATTCCAAGCTGCTGTTGCCCTTTGGAGCTCTTTGATACATAGACTCCCTGCTGGGTTGTCTAGCATTGACAGCTAGACATATAAACTCCCTCTCCTATTCCCCTCTCCCCTGAGAGTTCCCTAGCCCTCATCTTCTGGGTGATAGCCACTTCACCCCAGCTTCTGGCCAATCCTGTTTGGGTAGTGGCCACTCTGCCTTAGCCTCTGGACTATATGCTGTAAGGACATCCTCTGCATGCAGACCTGTCAATGTCACCCAGTAAAGCTTATACATGCTACTGCCACCTCGTGGTTATATCTTTTTCTTTGCTCAGACCCCAAATCCCTCAAATTTAAAATCTAGTTAGGTTCCTACCAGCTTCTAGTCATATTTTCATGAGTCAATACATAATCTTGTTTTGTGTGTGTTTCTGTTTAAAGACATATTGTTGATTGATTAACATTGAACTCACAGCTGACATTACTATAACTCATGCCTGAAGGAAGCTGGCCTAACACATGTACTTACTCTTCCAGTGACATTACAGCCTTCTTATGCTTACCAGCCCTAAATAGCACTTGAGCAATATGCTTAGAGGATATTGTAAACAGAATCATCAACAAAAAGCACAGAAGTGAGAAAAATGTGGCACCAAATAGGCTCTGCCCAGGTTACTTGTTTATAGTGTGAAAATTGAAACAAAAAGGCAGAGAGAGTGTCACTGTTTAACCTCAGTTGGAGAGGTGCATGCATTAGGTGACTCAAATATTTCGCTACTCTGCGCAAGTCTGTGAAAGCACTGTGAGTATTGACTTTAGAGTTACAAATAAATTTTAGTAAGTAGAGAGATTTGCAAGTATGCACTCCACAAGTAATGAGGATCAACTGTACCAATCCAGTCTGCTCTTAAATACTTCCAGTGATAAGCCCACTCCCTCATGACAAACTTTTGTCTTGCTGGCTAGGCCAAAGTTTGGGTTTTTTGGCTTATAGCCGTTATTGGAGGTAAAGAAAAGAAAAAAAAAGTGGGTTTTGTTGTTTTTTTTTTTTGTCTGTTTGTGGCGGTGGCTCACTCTGTCACTCAGGCTGGAATTCAGTGGCACAATTTCTGCTCATTGCAACCTCTGCCTCCTGGGTTCAAACAATTCTGGTGCCTCAGCCACCTGATAGCTGGGCTTATAGGTGCCCACCACTACGCCTGGCTACTTTTTGTATTTTTTAGTAGAGATGGAGTTTCACCATGTTGACCAAGCTGATCTCAAACTCCTGACCTCAAATAATTCCACCTCCTAAAGTGCTGGAATTACAGACGTCAGCCACTGCGCCCGGCCTGGGTGGTTTTAATGGTTATATTGCACTACAGTCTGTATCCTATTATTTCTAGTCACAGATCCTAATTAGGCTTTCTGGACTATTCCCTCCTCAATATATTATTTAAATTCAGCTGTCTTATATTCATATTTCCACCCATTTTTCCCCTTTAGCTTAAAGATCCCCAATTTCTTTGGAAGCTTTTGGTTTGCTAAGCACCTGAATTTAAATGAATGGAACTTATTGTTACAAACTAACACTTCCCCTTCTCTGTCCCACACCTCCTCCCAATAAAAACTGTATCCTCTACTCCCACTGCCTCACTTTACACCTTCAGTTCCAAGTTATTCAGATTTGGGGGATGAGGCGAGAAAAAGGCTAGATACATGGATAACTTTAAATATACAGAAAGATTGCTTTTTCTTTCCCTCACTCTTCCCATGTCATCTCTACTTCTCCATATGTTGGCTTCATTCTGTAACCAGATTTTCTCAGTGTGGTAGAGAATATGGCCACTGAGGGCTCCAGATTTGTATCTTCTCGTCACAGTTGTAGTAACTACAGTAGAAATAAGGACTTCTCTCAATTAATGTCCGTGTGTTAGTTTAGGGAAAAACTCAGGTACAGTTTGGGTCATATATATAGCCCTGGACCAGTGGCTCTTGCCAGGGGTATGGAAAATTGATTAGCCAACCTGTGTCATCTGTAGTGACACAAAAGTAGTGACCCTTGATTGATAGCTTTTCTAGTACCATGTGGATTTCAAGAGAAGGGAATATTCCCAGAGGAAACAGGGACGTTAAACAACAATGTCAAGTATACACATTAAGACAGTTATTTTCTTCCTGCTATGCTTAGAGCCAGTAAGATGTCTCTTAAGGACAATCAGTGTGATTTAAGGATTATAGAGTTTTCAGCTTTGAACAATATTGGATCAAAATTGATTTTGCTTTTAATATTAACATCTATTATTTCTCAGTGGTGGATATACTGTGTTGATGGGTGTATTATAGCAAATACTGTTATATTTTCTTTTTATATGTTTAAAGTATTTCTTTTTTTTTTTTTTTTTTTTTTTTTTTTTTGAGATGGAGTCTTGCTCTGTCGCCAGCCTGGAGTGCAGTGTCGCAATCTCTGCTCACTGCAACCTCCACCTCCCAGGTTCAAACAATTCTCCTGCCTCAGCCTCCTGAGTAGCTAGTACTACAGGCGCGCACCACCACGCCCAGCTAATTTTTGTATTTTTAGTAGAGACGGGGTTTCACCATGTTGGCCAGGATGGTCTTGATTTCTTGACCTCGTGATCCACCCACCTCGACCTCCCAAAGTGCTAGGATTACAGGCTTGAACCACCGCGCCTGGCCTGTATTTCATAATTTTAATAAAATAGCAGAAACTTAATTTTGCTTTGATTTAAGTTGGTATATAATAACAGATATTTGGGTTATAATTTTCCTTTAGCATTGTTAGCTGTAGAAATGATGTATCTGACCTAGTAACCCATTTGACATTTTAAAGATGGTATATTCTAAAGGTAAATTACTAAATTTTTTTAATGATATGAAAAAATGTAGTTGCTCCTTTTACTTCATATCAATATATTTATGATACCATAGGTACCTGCAAGGTGTGGAGTTACAGTCCGAGACAGTCTAAAGAAAGCACTGATGATGAGAGGTCTAATCCCAGAGTGCTGTGCTGTTTACAGAATTCAGGATGGGTATGGTTTGTATGTGACGTGAAATTTTGTTTAAAAAGAAAATCACACCTTAAACTTTGAAGTTTTCTTAGGATCTTTACCCAGACCTGGAGAATTGAAAGTCTACTTTAGGAAAAAGTATTAAATTAATATTCAGTTAGCCTGAAGAAATATTGTAGGCCATAGGAGGAGTTAAATTAGGTAATTTTATATGACTGTAGTGTTTGTTACTCTGATCAAATGATTTTATTTGGAATTTGAGATTCTTACAATTTTTGAACCATTCAGAGTGTGATTTATTTGGATAATGGACTCTTATACCCCCTCCCATTTTTAATACAAACTCATAATTTCACAAAAGGTATATCAAAATTAACATTTTATATTGACCTACTTTTCTTTCAGAAAGTGTCTAACATTGTTCCAAGACCCTCACATTTTGAATCCTGTTTTTTTTTTTTTTTTTA